ACAATGTACAAGTCTTCCAAACTACTTTTACTTTTGTTTAATTGTTCTCTCAAAGTATCAAGAGACTGTCCTAAAATCTTTAACTGTCACTGCATTTAACTATTGCTCCCTTCACTCCAGCCCATCAAATGTTCTTACAGCAAATATTCACGGGGACATCTTACTGTAACTTTTTACCTCCAAGTCATCTACATCTTCACATTTAAGGGTAGAGCTTGCTTGTATTCTTTTATCTAGTCTGATAATCTCTAACTTTTAATAGGAGTATGTGGCCCTACACTGTTCAACAGTGTAACCACTGGCCAAGTTTAGCTGTTGGGATTTAACTATAACAAAAATCTGAAAAATTCAAATGTAATACAGTAGCCATAGATAGTCACAGGATAGTTTGGAACTATGCAAAGATAAAATTTCCTATGCAGTCAAGTTTGATTTAGGCTTTTATATTTAATTCAATAATTAACCAGATTTAAGAGGGCCACCTTGCCATTGGTCTTACAGGTTTTTTTTATAATCGTCCTATTTACTTTTTATTTCACTTTCCCTACTTTTTCTTATCTTTTATTGAACTGAAAACATTTTATCACTATATCTTATCTTCATTATTAGCTCATTAACTCTCTCTCCCTACACACATTCCATAACAAGTTTCAAGAAGGAACAATTTTGCTCTTAGGGACATTTGGCAAAGTTGGTCATCTACAGCTCCGTGCTTGTCCCAGGGGTGAAGAGGGTGCTACTGGCATCTAGTGGACAGAGGCTAGACATGCAGCTGAGCTTCCAACCATGATTGGTGCCTCCTCTCTCTCCTCACAGCAAAGCCCGAGATGCCCATAATGCAAAGGTCCATAAATCCTGTTCTGACGTTCACTACATTCATCTCTGATTTCTGGCTGCAAGTGAGAGTCTTGAATGTGAGTATCTCACAGCAGTGCCATCCTAACTCCTTCCTACCTTGCTTTCCTTGTCCCACACTGCCAGCTGTGGTTCTTAGCACCTCGATAGGCTAACCTATCCCTTTGGGCTCAGTTTTCATCATAAGTGGCAGATATTCTGTGAGAATTAATATAAAGAATGTGATAAGCACAATCATGGATATTACAGATGCTAGCTTCTCTCTAAGAAAAAATTATAACTCCTAAGAGAGAGAGAGGACTTGAATCTGAAATAAAGGAACAGAAGAACACACCTGAAGAGTAGTGTGTTAACTTGTGCTACAGCTGCCTCTCTGTTCTCCAAATATGACAAGGAGACCACAGCCTACTGGACTGGCTGGGAAAACTTGACTCTAAAGAGAACGTGAGGAATCTTTTGACCACTGATACATAATCCCGTTTATTTACCTGCATTTAATTGAAGACATCTGTAAGTGGTGCCACACAAAATGTAACTCAGACTCAGAAATGTCAATAAAAATGTCTATAAGGCAAAAGTCCCACTAAACCTAGCAGGGAAGTGTACATCAGCAGCTACACAAAATTAGAAATAGAATTGTGCTGCCTGGCTTGACAAGTGATAGAAGCTCTTTTCCCATAAAGCTTAATGAGTGCTATTAGTCTTCAAGAATGAAAAAGGGTCAACCCCACAGAGAGAAGTAACCGACTCTCCACACATGGTCCATTCAAGTGACAACATATCAGATTACTGGCGTAATGATTATAACCTGACAATTTCATTAGATTCATGTGGCAGTTAAATAGCTAGAACTTACAACAAAGGGACCTGATTCATTCGTGAAACTTATTATGGGAAAAGTGAATCTTAAAGTCAGCTTTGTCAACTGCAAGTCTACATTTTACTGTCACTACTGAAGTTATTTTTCTATTCTTGAAATTTGGACAGTGACATACTTATCACAGTAAAATTAAACATGCTACAGAGGCTCCCAGCATTCTCTTGCCTTGACACTGCTTTGCCTCTCAGGCAATGTGTAGTGAAATGGAGCTGACTGAGCGCTGAGCTTCAGAAGGAGATCTGGGGGCAAACCATCAGGCAGCACTTGTGGAATTCCAAGCTAAAGGAACATCAACAGAAACCCTTATGTTATTTCCTACCAGAGAAGGGGGTGGGGTGAGGTAATCATCTTTAATTATTTCATCTTCTCCCTGTATATCAAAAAGTCTACTAATAAAAAATGGTTTTAAAAATTAACTTGACCAACATGCAACACAACTTCAAATCACTGAGTGAAGAAAACAAGCAGAAAATGACAATCACTCAATTCTGATTATGATATTCTTCCTTTATACTTTTCATCAAAAACTACAGATCCCATACACTCGGCATCTTCTACAACTGATAGTATTCAAAGATGAAAAGACAAAGCTTTCCATCTTAAGTAGGTTCAATCAAGCTAGGAAGAAAGTTAAGCACATTAAAATACAAACAGTAAACTTTATTTGCTGTCAGTTGAGTCCTGTCAATTTATGAATAAAAGACCACTACACCTAGCCTCAGCACCACCAAGCTTATTCAGTAGTCTCTCCACCCATCCATCCACCCAACAAGTATTTATTAAAGCTGTGCCTACTATGTACAATTTATTACATGAAAAATAAGAACATGGGGAAAACCAGGTCCTCTTCTCACTGAACTTACATTTAAGAGAAATGTGTTCATAAATCAGTGGTTTTCAATCTGTGGGTTGTGATCCCTTTAAGGATTGACTGGCCCTTTCACAGGGATCAGATACCCTACATATCAAATATTTACATTATAATTCATAATATTAGTAAAATTAGTTATGAAGTATCAATTGAATAATTTTACAGCTGAGGATCACAACATGAGGAACTGTATTAAAGGGTCGTAACATGAGGAAGGGTGAGAATCACTGACCTAAATGTTACTTGACCAGTGATGTAGACCTCCAATTCTAGCCTCCTTACTAACACCCTCCACATGGAAGGAACTCTATGTAACTTTACTGTTTTAAACTGCATTTCTAATATTAATAATACACAATTACATTACCATGTTTCACTTGCACTTATTTCATCAACTACTTATAGCATTTAACATAATTTTGTGCAAAAGAAATGGCAAAGATACTTTATCAATTCAAAAAGATTTAATATATTAAATAACTCTTATTATTACTTTGTCCAAACTGCCTTAGTTTTCAAAGATTGATTCGTTTTTATGTGTATGAGTGTTTTGTTTGCACGTATGAATATATGTATGTATGCATGCATGCCTGTTGCCTAGAGAGGACAGAAAAAGGTATTGGATCCTCTGGAACTGTAATAATAGGTTTGTGAGCCACCATGCAACTACTAGAAAACAAACCCAGGTTCTCTTTAAGAGCAGTAAGTGAGCCATCTTTCTAGGCCTTGAATTACCTTTAACTATGTTTGTTTTCATATACAAAATTTTATCTCTTTATATAGCCAAACAAAATTTTCTAGCCTTTTCTGTCTGATACTTCTCACTTCTGTGGTCAAAAAGTACTTCCTCAACTTCAGCAGATAATAAAGTACATAATGTCTCCAAGTTACTTATTATTGTTTTTAGATTACTTTTTTAAAATTTCCTGTGCTATGCTCAGTGTTGGCCACAAATCACTTCACTTAATTGCAATAACCTTGTAAGTGTTAATTCCATTTTCAGATTTGAAAGCTGTAGCCATGAGCCACTCACATTCCTCTCAACCCACAGCACAGCATCCTTCCACTGATATACTTTGCCTCCATTTTAAGACTGATGGATTAGAAAATGTGACCAAACCTGGTTAGTACCAGCTTCTCTGGTCTGGTCCATTTCCCCTAGTGATGATTCACAATGGTCATTGGGCATCACTCATCATTAGGAATAGTTTCAATAATCAAATGAAAACAGCATTATAAAACCATTAAAAAAAAAAAAAAGGAACAAGTCTCAATGTCTAAGGACATGGTCTCATAAAGAATACAAGGCTAAGGCCAGGTATGGTGGCACCCACTTTTAATCCCAGCACCCAGGAGGCAGAGGCAGGTGGATATCTGTGACTTCGAGGCCAACCTGATTTAGTACAATGGGAATTCCAAGACAGCCAAAGCTGTTACACAGAAAAACCCTGTCTAGAATAAAAGGCAGTGGTCCAGCTCTGAAAAGGAGTATGATCTGAGGCTGAGAAATAAGAAAGGGAGAAAGGAGCTCTTAAAGTAAAACAAACAACAGAAGCAAAGAGAAAGACCATGGTAAGCAAAAAAAAAAAAAAAAAAAATTAAGATTGGAGCATAAAAAGTCCAGCTTAAAAGGAAAATACAAAAATCTTACAGGATTTGAACAGCATAATTGTGTTCACAATCTGCTGCCTCATCTGAAAGGATAGCTCAGGAAAGTTTTGACTATTAGTATCATATGACTAGTAAGTAAAGACACATCTTAAACACTTCAAGCTTAGTCTCTATTCATGGTGCTCAGCTTTTTCTGCTCTGCCTTTTCTAAGTCTCCACAACCATCTACAAGCCTTTTGTCAACCACAGATCACATGACTCTGGTTCTCTGAACATCTAGTAACTTTTTTTAACACCACAATTTATCCCTGTCTTCAGTCGAAATGAGAACCAGGATGGAGACTAAATGAGAAGTAAATGAAGCACCAAGAACAATGCTTATATCAAAAATGCACAACGTCAGGCAGGTCCTCTGCTCCTGAGGTCTCTTATCCAGGTGAACCCTCTTTGATGACAGCTTTTGCTCATCTGGCTCTGCTGAAGCATGACAGTGATTTAAGCAAACGAAGCAACACAGGGGTCACAGGAATACAATCTAGGGATGACTCCTCTATTTACTGAGAAAGAAAGTGTACCTAGTACCTAAAGGGGCAGTGACTAGTTACAAAGGTAAACAACTGTTATTTTAAAAAAAAATGGCTGTGTTCATAACATTACTATTACTGAAAAATGTATTGCTTTAGAATAATCACTCTTAAATTATCAGATAAATGACCAGGGAAAGACCAAGCAGAGCTACTCTACTGATGACACTAACATGATGATCTGAGAGCAATCTCTTACCTCCAATGGTGAGTTGCAAAGGAATCTTGTGAACTGCAGAGTCCAATTTGAATAGGATCAGTTTCATCCAGGAAAGGGGCAGTAAACAAGAACACACAAAGAAAAAACATTTTACAATTTTCCAGTAAAAGCATATGAAGCCAAAGTCTGTACAAAGTTAATGTTTTCTATAATGTATATAATCCATCCAAATCAAACAATTCAACTCCGCCCATAAAAAGTCCTCAACTATTTGAATTAGTTTACATAAACAAACCTAAATATTTGTATAAAAGCAAATACAGCACAATTAGTCCTAAAATAGTTTCATTTTTAATTTTTATCTCACAGCTTCTGAACACAAAACTAACAAACAAAACACCCAATGAAAAAAAGAATCAACAATCATTCTGACCCTAAATATAAAACAAGGTTTAGTTAATGCCAAGAATAGGTAGACCCATCAGGGAGTGAGAGTGTGTGGCATCCCCAAATTTTGGCACTTCTGCTGCCATGTTTACTCTCATCATCTCTCTTCATCCCATATTCCTTCTTTCATTTTTGTACTTTCTCCTACCTCCCTATTATTTTCCTTCACCTCTCTTTGACTAATGACTCATACATAGGATAACCGAACACTAAATATTACTATTACATGTTACTTGTCTCTCAGTATTTAAACAAACAATTCTGGAGGGAGGGGCAGGCACTACTGACAATGCAAACTGTCAGATGTCTCATACACATGACAGGAAATTCATGCGTAAATAGATGTATTCATAGAATCAACATCCCCTTTGAGAATCACTGTGATAATCAAATGTCCAAGTGATATCAATTCATCTTTCTAAATGTATATTAACAACAATAAGCTGCAGTGGCAAGCATGTTTCCCAGCACTCTTGAACGTCTCTATAACAAAGCTAATTTGTAGTCACAGGGAATACAAATAATTTCTATTCTCTCTGAGATACAAACTGAGGAACTAAGGATACAGCTCATTCATAAGAATGCTTGCCCATCCTGCAGGAGGACTTGGGTTTGTACCCCAAAAGTGGGAGAGGAAGGGACTGAAATATCAGTAAAATTACAAAACATCTGGGGTTTCCTTCTACACCACTGGGGAAAGATGTAGAGGTAAGAAATGGAAGTTGAATAAAAACAAGACTATTCATGTTAAACTAATGAGTGTTAAGAGATGAGGACAGAGAATTCCTTCAGATATGATTAGGGACACTTGATATTTAGTTTTGTTTTTTGTTTTTGTTTTTTTTTTTTTTATAAGAAACTTCCCTTAATACAGTTTTTGAAAAGTATCAGCTATACCCTCCCCAAATTATAAAATATACTCCTAAAATAACACAAGGCATGTCAAAGCTACTAGTATCATCTAAGCTCTAGACTGCAAGATGCATTAAAATACCGCCTGTAAATTTCTTTCTTTAATAGCAAACACAGACCTACTGTTAGAACTTTTGTGGAAGTTCAAGTATACCAAAATGCTGACATGACACAACTAAATTTATAGTAGCACAATTTTTATGGTTTTGAGGGCTTTTTTACAATAGCTCAAACTAAGACAATACTCCTCTTCCCCAAAGCAGAAAGTACCAGTTGAGATACTAGACCATTTTAACAATGGAAAGCAACAAGGAACAGCAAAGTTTAATTTTTAAGTCGTAACTTTGATATTATAAAGTTTCTATGCTTACTCCTATATGTACATATCATCTATGTTATATGCATACTTTTGGATTTGTAAGCAACCCAGCCCGAGTGTAGTAGCAACTGATGCATCAATCAAAACAGCAGTCACTTTAAATAACAAACAATAACTATGTAAATGCTGTCTAAGGAAGCTAGTATCTTCTTGAGGCCCAAAATTTACACACACACACCCTAGCATGCATACCTGGAATAAGTACAGTTAACATTAGTGAAGCCAAATTTTCAAAATAAGAAATGTGAAATGCTCATCATGTTTGAATTGCCAAAATATGAAATATGTAAGTTTGCAACCTTAAGGCAATAAAAACAGAATAACAAAATCACAAGACACATACATACTATTCGTAGGACATTAAAAAGATTTCAAAATGTTCCCTCTCCATTAATGTGATGGTGAAGCTGGTTGCTTTGTGATAGTTCAGGCAGTTACTTAGAAACCCCGACAAAAATTATACAGGTCATGCTCTCAGTACAAATGCTAACATCTTGAAAGATGATTGGTAAAATGTACTTTGTATATTCACTAAGACTGACAGCAAAAAAAGGGTTCCTTTCAACAAACATCATCATGATGACAAGGTAAGAAAATGACTATGTTCAATTTTGCTGTGAAATTAAGCCACTAAAAATTCAAGTCCAGTTTTTAAAAAATTACTATGGCCAAAGTAAGTAACCTATATTAATACCTCAATGCCATTCTTAACATGGATACATTCATGCTATTAAATAAAAACAATTTGTGTAAGATCTTACTTAAGATATTCAGGCCTATTTTTACCATGTTTTACAAAGTTCCTTACTGACATACAGCTAAGAATATACTTGATCACTCCAGAAACAATAGGATGCAAAGCTATAGTCACTTTCCTTATTTATCTATATTCTTTATCCGTTTTAAAGAATCCTTTTGGAAAAAATCTTAATCTAATTGAAAATAGGTAGGTAGATTTGAAGTCAATAATTTATAATATGATTCACTTAATAAAATGTGTATAAATTTTTTTTGTTTGTTTATTTTTTTATTTTGTTTTTCAAGACAGTGTTTCTCTATGTAATAACCCTGGCTGTCCTGGAACTCTCTTTGTACACCAGGCTGATCTTGAACTCACTGAGATCTTCCTGCCTCTGCCTCCCAAGTACTGGGATTAAAGGAGTGCACCACCACACCTGGTAATTTCTTTATTTTATTTTGTAATTAGTTCTGTGAACATGTGTGTGTATGTGTCTCCCCTGAGAGTTACAAAATGCTGTGAGCAACCCAAATGGGTGCTGGGAACCAAACTCAGGGCCTCTGGAAGAGAAGTTCCCTTTTCTAACCACTAAATCATTGTTCTCACCTCTTATCTTGAGTTTTAAAAGATCATAAGCATAAGGACTATGGTCTATATTTAGAATTCAACATGCAATGTATCTCTGCCAATTTTTAAATCCTTTAAACTTCAGAAAGTAAAGGAAGAGAACATTTAGGTCAATATCTGTTTCCTAGCAACTGATTCATCTTGTTTACAAGAAGGCATACTGATTTCTGATCTTGTTACCCACTATGCTTGCTATCTATCACTGATAGCCTGTCTCACAACACCTTTTAAGAGTTCCAGAGAGACAACTAATGCTTATACTAAATTTTCATAAACAGTATTCTAGGTGCAAACTGTCCTCTGAACTATCAGTTATATTTAGAAAATTCCTTCTTTTCCTGAGATTTAATTGTTTTGAATGAGGAGAGGAAAGAAGAATAGAGGAGTACACACTTTCTAATTTTGTCAAAACTCCAGTAAAATTATTATCAATTATTTTATATGTGTATTAAAAATATTCAACAGATAAATCCTTTAGTGTTCTTAAAATGCCATCTGTTTAATAAGGAACCATGGTTATTTAAATTCTGGTGTCTACAGACCAAGTTTCAGGACAGGCTCCAAAGCAATACAGAGAAACCCTGTCTCAAAAAAACCAAAGACAGATAAGATAGATAGATAGATAGATAGACAGATAGATAGATAGATAGATAGATAGACAGATTAAAAAAAAAATGCTGGAGTGTGAATGAGATACCATCTATATCAACTTCTCCTCTACACATACATGCACAATCACACAGAATTCAAATTGACCTTGAAAAATGAAATACTTTCCAAAAATCATATATAAATTGAATATAAGCAGAAAATACCACAAAACCTACAAATCAAAATTAGCATTTGTTGTTATTTGTTTTCTTAATGATTGACAAGAGTCTGGCAACAGTATAGTTTTGATTTGTATCTCTCTGATGGATAGTGAAGTTGGAACATTTCTCATGTTTATTGGTCATTTGTATTTCACCAACTGCCAGCTCCTTCGCCCGTGAACTGATTAGGTTGTTTGTTTCCATATTGTTTAGAGGGGATATAGATAGATAGATAGATAGATAGATAGATAGATAGATAGATAGATATAAATAGATAGATAGACAGACAGACACACATACACACACACAAACACATATATTTTAGATATTCTCTGTCGGATAAATATAAAAGATTTTCTCCTATTCTATGTGCTGCCTCTCTTCATTCAATTAACTACTTCCTTTCCTGTGCTTTTTATCATGAGGTTCCATTTGTCAATCGTTGGCCTTATTTCCCAGCCAACTAGGACCTTTTCAGAAAGTCCTTACCTATTTTCCACTAACAGCTTCAGAGTTCCAAGTCTTACAATGAAGTCTTTGATCCATTTAAAGTTGGCTGTTGTGAAGGTGAGAGTTAACAATCTAATTTATTCTTCTATTTGGGATATCCAATTTCCCCAGCAACTTTTGTTCTGTTCCATAACCTATTTTTGTGCCAGTATCATGTTGTTTACTTATTATGCCTCTGTAATATAACTTGAAATCATCAACATTCTTTCCTCTCAGGTCTGCTTAGGACCTGAGATTCCTAATAAATTTGAAGATTTTTTTTCCCTATTTCTATGAAGAACGGCACCGGAATTTTGATGGGGATTGCAATGAATCTGTAGACTGCTTTTGGTTAATACAACCGCTTTCACTATTTTAATTCTTCCAAAACATGAACACAGGAGGTCTTTCTGACTCTCAGTATTTTCTTCAGTTTCTTCTGCCAACATTTTAAAGCTTTCACTGTCGTGATCTTTTTTTGCACTGGTGGGAATGCAAACTAGTCCAGTCTCTGTGGAAATCAGTATGGATATTTCTCAAAAAACTAAAAATACAGAGTTAAGCATGGTTGCACATACCTTCATCCTAGCATTCAGGAGGCAGAGCCATGAAGATCTCTGGGTTCAAGGAGGCTAGCCTGATCTACAAAGCAAGTTTCAGGATAGCC